ATCGAACTTCCTGAACACTTCACCAAGCTGTCGTATCACTCGTCCAGCTTGCTTATATTCATCTTATTCTCTGTCTAAGTCCTTTGGTCCATTCTTTGACCAAGGCTAAGCTTTCCCATGATCTACTGTGATCATTCACTTCATCAGAGCTTGTACACAATCAATTCTCATGATCTGAACCAAAGCAGTCTCGTTTCTATCGAATGTCTTGGCCTTATGTCAAGTTCCAGGAACAGGAACATGGCAGTTCAGCTGGTGTGAGCTGATCAGTGAGTGCGTAGCTAGACCGAGCTGGGCTGAGCTTACCCAAGCTTCCCGAGCTAGGTCGAGCTGTCCCAACACCCCGTTGAGCTACCCTTAACTTGTATAACTCTTTTACTCCTTGATCTTCCTTCTGTTTTGGCTAAGTCCCAGCTTCCCTGAGCTCTTAACCCTTCCTCCAGACCATGCCACCTACTTTTATTTAGGTCATATGACCAGACTGGTGTGTCTCCTTGCGCCATGGTCCATCCCGGTGATCTTACCCAGGATCGGGGACATGACATTTACGATGCCAGAATAGGAAATCCACCTTTCCGTCTATGTTCTAAAGTTTTAGTAGAACATAACATCTAAGAAATAATCATACATCTATCATGGCAGAACATACATTCTTAAATTATATCTTTTATCTGAGCCCATGGGAATAACATATATACTGCTTCAACTATTGGGTAAACTTGGTAAAATGTATGTGAACAAAATTCCGGAAATCTAAAAAAAGCGGTTAATGAGTATTCTCTAAATTTTTTTATTTTCTTTTTTAATATTTTTTCCCGTGGACGTGAGTCTTCTTATTCCTTACCGTCGTGACAGTTCTTCTTCTTTTCCTAGTTTTTCCAAACTATTCGTTAAGCACATATATATTTTGTGTGGTTCGTAGAAATCCTCAGCAAGTAATATATGGAGATTTGTTGTTGATAAAGATCCTTTTTTAACTTTTTAAAGATATCGACCAAATCCTTCTTCTTCCACAATGATATATAAGTAAATGATTTTCATAGTAATAAGTTGTCGTGGTCTACTGGTAAAAGAGTAGAGTTTTAATGTTCATATCCTAAGTTCAACTCTAGGAAATGCCAATTTTTGTATTTTTTTTGTATTTACATATCTCGTCAAACCAAAGCAATACATTTGTGATATAGACTTGTTCGTGACCAGCTCGTCAATGTTACCAATGTTTACTAGAGTCAACAAACTAAACTCAAGAGGACCAAAATCAGAATAAAAATCATGTTTCCACTCTCACGTGTCTTTTTTTCCTAAAAATACGAGGTGCTTCACATTCTCGATATGGAGGCCACCTCACCGGGTCATGGGATCCCTGTAAACCCATAGATGATCCGAAGTTGCAAACCTTGCAGTTCCAAAAAATTTCTAAGCTGTCGATGGCCACACATGAACTATTGTATTCATGTTTTTGTTCATATTTTCAAAATTTCTGGAGATTTTTCATTTGTTCTTTCTTTATGTTGAGATAAAGATCCCAATAATAAATAAATTATAGAGCAAGACAACTGATTGGCTCAAAAATACTTACCTTTAAGATAAAATTGATTCGTTTCCTATTCCACAAAAGTAAAAAAATATTCTACGAGGAAATGTTACTAAGGGAAGATGAGTTCAACGTGGAACATCAGATAAAGCATGAACAATAGAGAGTGAGTCTAGTTCATAGCCATGAACCCTAAATCGGTAGATACAAGTGTGTGAGCTGCTTCCATGGTATATGAAGGCTAGCCTCACAATGTTGACAAGTCCCAAGTGAGTAGACTCTAAAATTTTGAATGTTTATGTGTTGGATTTGTCCAAGTCGTAAGTTAACCATGTAAGGAGTCTTGTCTCACTCTCCATATCTTTTTCTTCTAGCAATCCTGATACACGACATTCATTTGGAGCACTCGATATATCATAGCATGTTCGATTTCATGGTGCATAACCCGTCAAATCAGTATCATCTTTAAGTGGTCAGGCTAGAAAAAAAATATCAGACAAATGTTTACAAGGAAGAGAGAAAGATGAAAAGTTATGTGTGACCATCATCAACGTAAAATCTCTAAGCCAATGAGACTATTACTCCTATGCTATTATTTCTACAAAGTGTATTTTGCTTGTAATGGATATAGTTCACTAATTTAAACTGATACACTCTCTTCCACTGATATACTCTCTTCCCATGCACACACTTTGTTCTTTATCAATGTTATCCTAAGTATATAGCACAAGAACACAAGCATATCATTTAAAGTATTCTATTGTCCCTGTATAAAAAACAGCAACCCAGATTCCTTTTACGAACACTACAGCTGATTCTCCAACAATCATGAATCCAAATTTTCTTTTTAAAAAAAGTAATAATCTCATTCAAGAATTAACACAAATAACTAGTGGACAAAATACTAACCTTGGCATTTAACAGACAAATATGAACTTTTCAACACAAAATATGCAGTGCAACCTCAAGAACCAACATGAATAACAAATGAATGTGAGATTGCGATATACAAATCAGAAAATGTTCGTACCTGAAACCACAATTCTATTCCCTGGAAATTAACAATGTTCAGATTGACCTGAAAAACACGGGGAAGAATGCATTGAGGCGGAAGTAAGCCGGCTACTAGAGAGGCCGAACACGAACATTGTTTTTGTAATTCATTTTTAATTAAGTTAATATTAAAGTTTTGTTATAATTAGAAAGTTAGAATGGGTTAACACTAATATTCATTCTAAGTGGACAAGAATTCCAAAAATGATTCTTAATTCTTTTAATTCTTTTTTATTCTGATAAAAAAAAATTCTTTTTTGACAAATTTCCCAAAAAGATATGAGTTCATCAATTCAAAAAATCACAACGAATACTTTAGTTTAAGCTATTGATATCTGCTTTATTGTCTTAAGTTTTCAGAATATATTATGTAAGCTTTTGAAATATAAAAGTAATAAAATTGAAAAATATCGGGAAAATTCCTTAAAAATACACCAACTGAGTTTCTTTTGCTAAAAAAATACATCAACTTTTTAGACTTCCCGAAAAATACACAGAGTAATTTTGGTTGTCTACAAAATACATGAACATTTGAATTTTGAAGGTTTCACACCTCGATTTTAACGGCGTTAACTCTCATTAACAGAACATTTAGACGTCGTTAGACGCTGTTAGACGACGTTAACTCTGATTCAAAAGTTCATGTATTTTGTGGACAACCAAAATTAGTCTGTGTATTTTTCGGGAAACCAAAAAAGTTAGTGTATTTTTTCAGCAAAGAAAATTTAGTATGTGTATTTTTAAGGAATTTTCAAAAATATACTAAGGTGGCAAAGACATTGATTTTTTTTTGTTTGACTGAAAAATGTAATTTTTGAATATATTTTGTTCATATTGAGGCTATTTTTTCTAGGGTCAGTTTGGATCTATATTTAAAATAAGTGTAAAATACCAGTAATTTCGGATATGTATCATGTAATAGAGAATGTGTTTTTGTTTGGGTCTTTGGGTTGGGTTTGGGTCGGTTCTTTTTGGATCTAAGATATCCGGATCTAAGAACCAGCCCAAACTCGACTCAAAGAACTGAGCAAAAACACATTCTCTTCCACATGATACAGATCCAAAAATTACCGGTATTTTCCACGTATTTTAATTATAGATCCGAACTGATCCTAAAAAGACCAACCTCAATATGAACAAAATGAAGAAAATATAAAGAAGCAAAAAAAACACATTATTCATATTAATACTCGCGTATTTTAATATATTTTGAACAATGTGTGTATTAATATGAATAATGTGTTTTTTTGGCTTCTTTATATTTTGTTCATTTTGTTCATATTGAGACCAATTTTTCTAGGATCAGTTCGGATCTATAATTAAAATACGTGGCAAATACTGGTAATTTTTGGATATGTATCATGTGGAAGAGAATGTGTTTTTGTTCAGGTCTTTAGGTCGGGTTTGGGCCGGTTCTTAGATTTGGATATCTTAGATCCGAAAAGAACCGGCCCAAACCCGACCCAAAGACCCAAACAAAAACACATTCTGTATTATATGATACATATCAAAAAATTACGGGTATTTTACACGTATTTTAATTATAGATCCAAACTCACCCTAGAAAAACCGTCCTCAATATGAAAAAATATATTCAAAAATTACATTTTTCAGTCAAACAAAAAAATCAATGTCTTTTCCACCTTATTATATTTTTGAAAATTCCTTATAAATACATATACTAAATTTTCTTTGCTAAAAAAATACACGTACTTTTTTGGTTTCCCAAAAAATACACATACTAATTTTGGTTGTCCACAAAATACATGAACTTTTGAATTAGAGTTAATGTCGTCTAACGACGTCTAAATGTTCTGTTAGTGAGAGTTCACGCCGTTAAAACCGAGGTGTGAAACCTTCAAAATTTAAAAGTTCATGTATTTTGTGGACAACCAAAATTACTCTATGTAATTTTCGGGAAGTCTAAAACGTTGATGTATTTTTTTAGCAAAAGAAACTCAGTTGGTGCATTTTTAAGGAATTTTCCCAAAAATATAATAAGTAACCAGTGACTGTGTCTGTCATTGTATCAGGCTATCTGCATTGCACTGGAGATAATCATAGAGATAACAACTTTAAGAAATTTGGGCTACCCGTTAAAATATAACACATAACAGCCCATTTGGGATAACAAAATTATAGGCCTAAATTAATGGGTCACAGGCCCTAAAATGATCAGGCGACGTGTCATGCTTACAATGGCTCAGAGAACCTTAGACGAAGTTCCCAAATTACCCTGACTCAGGCGCGAATTACAGTTTCACCCCTCACGAGAAGTTCAGATAGATTAGTTTCATTCTAAATAATAATCCGTAATGGTAACTCATATTTCTTCAGATCCCAATTTACATCACAACTTCACACCCTAATCTAATCCCCATTCCCGATCGCCGATCCCAATTTGATATCCGTTATGGCTTGCATCAAGGGGGTGGACAGATCCGCCTCCGTCGCGCTGGCTCCCGACGCTCCTTACATGGCCGCGGGGACCATGGCGGGAGCCGTGGATCTGTCATTTAGCTCATCCGCTAGTCTCGAGATCTTCAAGCTCGATTTTCAGTCGGACGATCGCGATTTGCCACTGGTAGGGGAAATCCCCTGCTCGGAGCGGTTTCATAGACTCGCATGGGGAAGAAACGGATCTGGATCGGAGGAGTTCTCGCTAGGTCTTATTGCCGGTGGCCTTGGCGATGGGAATATAGATCTGTGGAATCCGCTTTCTTTAACCAGGTGTGCAAATTGAAATTCATCGCCATTTGGATTTAATTTGTTAATGTGCAATGTTTAAACACGGTTTTAAATTTTTTTTTAAAAACGATCGTAATTGAAAATTGAAGGCGCCGCGTAGTGAGTTTGCTTTTTGGTATTGAGTTTTCGTCGTCTAACTCGAACAACTGTGTCACACTTTTTTCAGTTCCAAGTCAAGTGAAAATGCACTCGTTGGACATCTCTCAGTTCACAAAGGACCCGTGAGTTGTTGTTTTTTTTTTCTTCTCTTGCTAGAACGCTTGTGTTGTTTAAACACTCCTCATTTGGCCATGTATTTGTTAGGTTCGTGGTCTTGAGTTCAATGGTATTACCCCAAATCTACTTGCCTCTGGGGCTGATGATGGTGAAATCTGCATTTGGGATCTAACTAAGCCTGCTGAGCCTTCTCATTTTCCCATTCTGAAGGTACTTCTTTCAACCCAATTACACTTTTTCTTTATGTGCATTACTTTACTGTTGGAATTTCACCGAATTTATCTTCAGTCTTTTGAGTTGGAATCCTAGAGCAATCTTAAAACGAGTCTCTTATGCAGGGAAGTGGTTCTTCCACGCAAGGTGAAATCTCCTTTATTTCGTGGAATAGAAAAGTTCATCAGATATTAGCATCTACCTCATACAATGGGACTACTGGTGAGATTTACCGGGTTTCTTCCCCCTTCTGTAGTTCATTTCTGTCAACTCTAATTCTTTTTCTGCTCATCTTTGTTTTTTTTCCACAGTAATATGGGACTTGAGGAAGCAGAAGCCGTTAATTAAGTAAGTATACAATTCTTTAAGTGATATTAATGAGGCGCTCTTTTGTTGCTATTGTAAGCTTGATCTGGCTATTATCCATCAACAGCTTTGCAGATTCAGTTCGGCGCCGGTGCTCTGTTTTACAATGGAACCCTGACATTGCTACTCAGATAATGGTTGCATCAGATGACGACAGTTCACCTACTCTGAAGGTAAAGGAATCGTTTAGTGTCTTGCCGCATTTTGTTCAAATTTGGTCCGTTTAGTAACTTAATGTATTCACAATCAGCTCTGGGATATGAGGAATACAATGTCACCTGTGCGCGAGTTTACTGGACACCAAAAAGGTATTTTCAAATCATTTCTATAAAATGCTTTTTCCACTTGTAGATCAGCCATCTTAGGGTCATATCATAGTCCTGTTGTCTTCATTCTTTCTAGTATTTTCCATTTTGGTGAACTGTAGTGGTGCGACTTATCTCGCAGGTGTGATTGCAATGGAGTGGTGTCCAAGTGATAGCTCATATCTTCTTACCTGTGCCAAGGACAACCGAACTATTTGCTGGGACACTAATACAGGAGAAGTAAGGAGATGGAATTGATGAATTATACATATTTGCTAGATTTCATCCGTTAATTAGTTAGCAAATCTTCATTTAGACTGAACTTGATCCAACTATATCAGATTGTGGCTGAGTTACCTGCTGGAAACAATTGGAATTTTGATGTTCATTGGTACCCAAAGATACCTGGAGTCATATCAGCATCTTCATTTGATGGGAAAATTGGCATCTACAACATCGAGGTATCTTGGTGGTTTAATGTATTTCAAAGTGTTTGGTTCTAGGTGAAAATTAGTGTATGAGACCATAATATAACACGAACTTCTGAATTCAGCCTTATTGACTGTTTTTCGGTCCCAACATTAATTTAGATTTCGGTTTCCCAGTTTGTTGCTCTACCGGTGATCAAATGTTTTAGTTTTTAAATCTTATGCACTTACCGTTTGAGAATTACCTTACTAGCAAGACTTTTTGGACTCTCGATCTCCTAATTCCCCAACTAGAATAAATAACAAAAATATGAGCTCAACCTTTGGTGCAGGGTTGCAGTCGCTATGGTGCTGAAGAGAATACTTTTGGTACTGGTAATGTCATTTACCCATTCTGAACAATTTGTTTACCATAATTACTTGTTATTACTCCTTGATGGAGATTTGGATAGCACTAGAACCAACATCACTTATTATAATCCTCTTTGTACAGCTTATTTAAAAGCACCGAAATGGTATAAGCGCCCGGTTGGTGCATCTTTTGGATTTGGGGGAAAGCTAGTATCGTTTCAGGCAAAGGCCCCTCCGAAGGGTGCCTCATGCATTGCGTCTGAGGTTAGCGTATAGGAATGATACTGTCTTCTATTATACCCCTTTTGTTCGTCAATTCTGACTTGACTAAATGTCATGTTCAGGTTTTTTTGCACAGCCTGGTAACAGAACAGAGTTTAGTGAGTCGTACTTCTGAATTTGAAGCCGCCATAGAAAATGGAGATAAGACTTCTCTAAGGGGTTTGTGTGAGAAGAAATCTGAAGAGACTGAGTATACCATCCTTATGATTAAAATGTTGATATTCTCCTTTGACAAACTCATCCGACAACTGAACTTTGCCCTGTTTCAATTTCACTGATTTGGCAGATCCAAAGAAGAGAAAGAGACGTGGGGCTTGCTGAAAATGATGTTTGATGAGGAAGGAACTACAAGGACAAAGTTAATTAGCCATCTTGGCTTTAGTTTGCCTTCTGAAGAGAAGGATCAGGATGTAAATGGGCTCTCTTCAGATCTGAATGGCATCGAATTAGAGGATATTGCAGCGCATCCACGGGAGCCTGAGGAAAGTAACGAGGCAGCTGCATTTGCTATGGACAATGGAGAAGACTTCTTTAACAATTTTCCTGCTAAACCGGATACGCCAGTATCTACCTCTGCCACAGATTTTACGCCTCCTGACACAGATTTTGCTGCCAAGGAAGAAACTCAAGAAATGCCAGAAGAAGAAGATGAGGGTTCTGACCTTGATAATGCCATCCAGCGTGCGTTGGTTGTTGGAGATTATAAGGAAGCGGTGGATCAGTGTATTTCTGCAAATAGGATGGCTGATGCTTTAGTTATTGCTCATGTTGGTGGTATAGCGTTGTGGGAGAGTACTCGTGAGAAATATTTGAAGATGAGCAGTGCACCTTTCATGAAGGTATATATTTATGCTTTCTAACTTTATATGTAGGTAAGTGCCATCGACGTCCCTGTTTATGGTCTAAACTACTGTATGCTAATCTGCTTTCAGGTTGTTTCTGCAATGGTTAACAATGATCTCACCAACCTTGTCCATACAAGGTCACACAAGTTCTGGAAAGAAACTCTTGCTCTCCTATGTACTGTAAGTTTCTCAGACTCTTGCTTTTCATTTTTTACATGATCAAAATATATTCTCCTATCACTGTGAAATGATGCATGCAACTGCGCCGTTATTCTGGTCACGATAACACTGCTTTGTATCTAATCCTGCTCCTGTATAAATTCTCAAATAGTTTGCACAAGGAGAACAATGGACCAGCCTGTGCGATGTCCTTGCCTCAAAGTTGATGGCTGCTGGTAACACTGTGGCTGCAGTTCTGTGCTACATTTGCGCAGGCAATGTTGACAGAACAGTAGAAATTTGGTCGAGGAGCCTTGCAAACGAGCGTGATGGAAGATCTTATGCCGAGCTTCTTCAAGTGTGTATCACTTTCCATGTTTTGTGCATAAATTAAGTTGGCTTCCTTGTTCTTATTTTTTTACTCTTTTCTTCTAGGATCTTATGGAGAAGACTCTTGTCCTTGCTTTGGCAACTGGCAACAAAAAGTTCAGCGCATCTCTGTGTAAACTCTTTGAGAGTTATGCGGAGATATTGGCTAGCCAGGGTCTTCTTTCAACGGCAATGAAGTACCTAAAGGTTCTGGATTCTGGGGGCTTGTCACCTGAACTTTCTATACTACGTGATCGCATTTCTCTTTCTGCAGAACCTGGTGCGTATGCAGTAGTGTTTTGGGTATTTTTTAAAGGATTGAATCGTGATGATTAAATTAGCGTATCATTTCATATTGCATCTGTAGAGACTAGCACTGTAGCTTCAGGCAACACTCAGCCTCAAAGCACCGTACCATATAACCAGGTCTCTGTCATTTTCTGTCTGCAGCTATCTTAGATGTTCATTTAGTTTTTACGGACAACATACTTATCCTTTAATTTTTCTTCGGTTTAGGAGCCAACTCAGGCGCAACCAAACGTTCTTAGTAACCCATATGATAATCAGTATCAACAACCGTACACTAATTCTTATGGTGGAGGATATGTCCCCACAGCTGTGAATCCACCCATGCAGCAAGCAACCATGTTTATGCCTCAACAAGTTCAGCCAGCTCCGCAGGTTTCTGAAGTTTTGGTTTTCTTGCATTTCTTTTTGCTCAGTCTTTGTTACCACCATGCATTAATTATCATCCTTATCTGGCAGTTTTCCGATGTCTAGATTAGGAGATCTTCTGTTATGATTTTGAATAGAGCTTTGGTCATTTTTTTAAAAATAGTACAAATCTTGATATGTATGTGGTTCAAATGCCTGGTCTCGTCTTTGTGTGGTTTGTCTTAGTATTGGGGTGGGTGTAGTTTTTGACAAAAAGAATATAGTCATACACGAACATTACAGCCTCGAAAGTCATGTCGGAAATGAATATATTTCCTTCAGTTCATTTATGAATATATTTCCTTCAGTTCATTTTTGTAGAATCTATATCTTAGAGCTCGTGAGAAAAGAGTTTTTGGTGGGGAAGGAAGTGTCCTGTTTGGTATGTATAGGTTTCTTGAGTCAATTTGTTGACTATGGTGTGTATATGCAGTCATCTTATCCTCCGGCTCCTGCAAGCAATGCTCAGCCATCCATGAGATCTACTTTTGTTCCTTCAACTCCCACTGCACTGAAAAATGCAAACCAATATCAGCAGCCAAACATTGGTTCCCACTCATTCAATGTATGTGAACTTTTATTTTGACTCATTGTGTTTGATGTTTCACGCACTTTTTAGTTTAACTAAGTTAACAGCTACATGTATTCGCATCAGGGACCATCTAACAATGCATACCCTGTTCCCCCCGGTCCTGGTTCATATGTACCTTCTGCCCCTTCACAAGTTGGGCAATATTCTGCCCCTTCACAAGTTGGGCAATATTCTACCCCTTCACAAGTTGGGCAATATTCTGCCCCTTCACAAGTTGGGCAATATTCTAACCCCATGATGCCCCAAGTCGCTGCTCCAGGAGCTGGACCCATAGGATTTACGCCTATGTCAACTCCAGGAGTTGCTCCAAGATCTGGACCAGGTTCCGTGCAGCCAGCAAGTCCTCCAGCACCGCAGGCAGCCCCTGCGCCTGCAGCTCCGCCACCAACTGTTCAGACTGCAGATACTTCCAACGTCCCAGGTATTGTGCAGCGTGACACGTAGCACCACTTGTCTGTTTTGTGTCCGACTTTTAAATGGTAACCTGTTGTACACTCTGATCCAGCCCACCAGAAACCTTTGATAGCAACGTTGACAAGGCTATTCAATGAGACATCGGAAGCAGTGGGAGGCGCACGTGCAAATCCTCCTAAGAAGCGTGAGATAGAAGACAACTCAAGAAAATTAGGGGCTTTGTTTGTGAGACTCAATAGCGGAGAAATGGGTAAGAATGCTGCAGACAAACTCGGACAGCTCTGCCAAGCTCTGGACAATCATGACTTCAATGCAGCCCTTCAGATACAGGTAAAGCTAGTGAAATCTCTGGTTCCTTCCTAATTAGTGACAGAAAAAAGAAGGAATAATAAGTTTTGGTGATGCTGACTCGGAACAGGTACTTCTGACGAACAGCGAATGGGAGGAGTGCGGGTTCTGTCTGTCGGCATTAAAGCGGATGATCAAGGTCAGGCAAAATGTGCGGTGATTTGTGGGTTGAGCAAGATTATAAATCCACAGGGGAGACTCCTTTTACTTTCTTAATCTCTGTTCTCTTTTAAAACGCTGTTGCTGCTACAATCTTTTTTTTTTGCATCAAATACCCCAACTTGGTTTAGATAAGAATAGATCTGATTGCTTGACATTGTCATGTTTTTGATGTTTACCTCACCGGACGAGTTTTGTTTTGTCTCTCTTACGTTGGACAGATTCAATTTAATTTGCTGTTCTGTTATTTATGTCACCTCTTTGTCGTATGACATTAAGATGAAGTAAAAAGTAGCATGCACCTATTGACGAACACGTTATATACCGAAAAAGACGAAAAAAGGGAAGCGCCTTGTCGCATCCTCTTTTCTGGCGTTTATAATTGACACGTTATTAAACCCCAAAATAAAGCCCAAAACGATCATGGAACCGTAAATGATTCAAATGGGCTATCGCAACATACAAAAACGTTACGATATTATGATTACATCAAATAAAGAAATAAATAAAAAGGTATGTGGCTGTGAGTCATCACTCTCATATAAGCCATCTGCTAGTGTTCACTGGTTGATAAAGCGCTTCGTTTCCAACTACCCGATCTGATAAGCATCTTTAGGCTTCAATGGCTTCTTCCCTCCTCAACGGGGTCATCACCTCCCCCAAGGGACTAGGTTTCCCCACTTCCAAACTCCAAGCAAGGTCAACTCCTCCGCTGAGTTTAGTCTCCGTGACCCGAACCACATCCACCACACGGAGTCTCTCTGTCTCAACCAGATGCACCAGCAGCAGCGTACCAGCAGCGTCAAGACCATCCGCGCAACCCAGGTTCATCCAGCACAAAAAGGAAGCCTACTGGTTCTACAGGTTCTTGTCAATCGTGTACGACCATATCATCAATCCAGGACACTGGACTGAAGACATGAGAGACGACGCTCTCGAGCCTGCGGATCTGAGCAGTCCGAACATGCGTGTCGTCGATGTCGGAGGCGGAACTGGTTTCACCACGCTTGGAATCGTCAAGACAGTGAAGGCCAAGAACGTTACGATTCTTGACCAGTCGCCACATCAGCTTGCTAAGGCTAAGCAGAAGGAGCCGTTGAAGGAATGTACTTTCGTTGAAGGAGATGCAGAGGATCTCCCTTTTCCTACTGATTATGCTGACAGATACGTCTCTGCTGGCAGGTAAAATTAAAAAAAAAATTTAAAAAAAGTCAATTCCTCTGGTTTTGAAATTGTGGTGATTAGGATTGTGATTGGGTTTTGTCTTTTTGGACAGCATTGAGTATTGGCCTGACCCGCAGAGGGGAATAAGGGAAGCATACAGAGTTCTCAAGATTGGTAGTAAAGCATGTATCATTGGTCCTGTCTACCCAACTTTCTGGCTTTCACGCTTCTTTGCAGATGTTTGGATGCTTTTCCCCAAGGAGGAAGAGTACATTGAGTGGTTCACGAAAGCTGGTTTCAAGGACGTTCAGCTTAAGAGGATTGGACCCAAGTGGTACCGTGGTGTTCGTAGGCACGGACTTATCATGGGATGCTCTGTCACTGGTGTCAAACCTGCCTCTGGTGACTCTCCTCTCCAGCTTGGTCCGAAAGAAGAGGATGTTGAGAAGCCTGTCAACAATCCTTTCTCCTTCTTGGGACGTTTCCTCTTGGGAACACTAGCGGCTGCTTGGTTTGTGTTGATTCCGATCTATATGTGGATCAAGGATCAGATCGTTCCTAAAGACCAACCCATTTGAGAAAAGAGCATATGTATGATTTGTAAGACCCTCCTTTGTTAGACAAGCTTTTCTTTTTGTCCTGGTTACTATGATGAACCCTTTTCAAAATAAATCTATCTCTCTATTCCTTTCACTAATGTTGATCTCGATTCTGTGGTACTTTGAGACGAACATAGGTCATTTAAAATCATAACTGAAAAGAGTAACAAACAACAAACATATAGTTTACTTGAAAGATAAACAGGTTTGATGTTTCAAGAAAATAGATCTTAACACAGTCTCTTAGATCCTTCCTTACATACGTCATAGCAACAATAGCATAACCTCATGTCTCTTCTTGCTTGATTTTGAGACCTCCGAGTTTTGCTTCCAGTTCATTGTCTTCTTCTCCTTCTTCGTCTTCATCTTCAAAATCTTCTCCTTCAGGGTCATTATCATCTAGAGGACCAAGCTTGTCCTGAGAATCCTTAAACATTTCATTTACCTCGTCCACACCTTCCTCAGATATGAAGTTTCCATTAATGTTGAGAAGCTTGAAAGTATGTTTCTTCAAAACAGTTTGTGCTAAAGCCCTTGCCCCAGCTCTTCTCATCATGTTGGTGCTCATGTCAACTTCAGCCAACTGGTCATGACCTTCTTCAAGTGCCTTTGCAATTAAGATAGTCCCTTCGTCTTTGAGTTCATTCTCAGATAAATTCAGCTTCGTAAGAGACTCCTTTAAGGCAATGCAATCTGCTAATTTCCCTGTGGACTTCACAGTAATGTCGTTCCCAGCCAATTCTAGAACTTGAAGACAAGGGGCAGACTTAATCAGAGATTCAGCAAGTGCCTCTGTTCCCTCATCCTCCAAGTTCAAGTAACTCATATAGATCTCGGTTAACTCAGCCAACACTGACAAAGTCTTGGCCAATGCAACTCCACCTTCAACTCCAAACATGTTGTCACGAAGATCAAGTTTCTTCAAGTGACTACAGCACGCAAGCGCCTCAGCAAGCGCAACACCTCCTTCAGAACCAATCCTTGTAGAAGAACACCTGAAATCTTCCAAAGACGGACATAACTTCACAATCTCCGCAATGGCAACAGCTCCTTCGTCTCCTGTCATGTTGTTATGAAACTGAAGAACCCTGATTGCGCCAGTAGAAGGAAGCAACTCACGAACCGCTCTTGCAGCATCCTCGGAGATGCCATCATTCATCAGATAAAGCTCCTCTAACTCACGCTGAGACTTGATGAGAGAAGCAAACGCACGAATCCCTTTCTCTCCCAAAGCATTGTCCGAAAGATTCAAACACTTAAGCTTGCAACCCTCCAAAGCAGATGAGAACATAGTCATGACTTCAAGCGCTTCTAACTCCGGTCTTCCCGCAACAAAATCAGAGAGATCCACTTCCGTTAACTGATCTTTCATGGAAGACAAGACGCTAACAGCGAACTTAGCAGCCTCCAAGCCAAAACTCCTGTTGCTGAAACGAATCTTGGTATAAGAGTTCTGTTCAGTCAAAGGCCTCAAGAGCTCACGTGCCTCATCTTCCTCAATGAACGCTCTACGTCCACCAGATAAATCAAACAAGCTATCACCATCACCAGAGGAGTTCTTGGCCTCTGATTCAACCTCTTGGGGACCACGTTTGATGACTTCAAGCATGAGTTTGCTGGATTCTTTAGCGTAGAGGTGAACAGCAGAGGTGCCGTCACCATCAGGCTCGCTCTGGAAGTGTTTGTTGGCAGCGGAGAAAGCAATGTCTTCGATTCGTTTGGCGTTTTCTTCAGCCTCTTGCGGAGACAAGAGACCGTACTTTCGGGAGAAGATGGAAGGGGTGGTTATGTTCTTGGTCATGCGGTCTACGAGCATGAGGCGTGTACTCTTGCTTGGTGGCCACATTTTAACAGACAAAACAGGGGTTTTGACTGAATGATCCATTAGCTAATTCTGTAATATTTCAAGACAAGGAAAAAAACATGACTAAACAATCTGAAATAAAATAAAATAAAATAACATTAAGAGGAAACAGATAGATCAAAGGTAACTGTTACAGCCAAACTAGTGCAGATTATTCCATTGAAGATAAAATCAATTTTAAAATTCCTTCCTACTAGACATACCAAAAGAGCCTTAATTGTAAACGAAAATGGTATAAAAGACACAGTAAGAAGAAACTCAAAATCCAGAAATGTAAGACAAGGACAAAGTTTGGGGGTTTTGAATTACCTTCTTCCTTAGCGTCTCGAAATAGATCTCTCGATAGAGAGAAAAAAAAAAAAGAGAAGAGTAAATAAGAAGAATCAAGAGGAAGAGGAGGAGGAGGAGGAGGGATTATTGATCAAGGTCGTGATGGAAATTATAAATGATGGAGGCGACGATGCGTTTTTCAAAACTCAAATCTTTGGCCTTTGAGAACTAATCAATCTTCCGACTACTAGAGAAGAAGAAGATTATTCTTAGGGTTTATTACATTCTACAGTTAAAATGACAATAAAACTTTTTTTAAAAAAAAGACACCATATAAACTAGGCCCAAAGCCCAGTAATAAGGATTCTTTTTTCAGAAAGCCCAGATTTACTTGAGCGTAAAATGCATTTCATTTTGATTCGGAAAGAATAAACTACATAGGTAACAGCCGTATGACTGTATGAGGAATGTGGGAAACCGCCTAGTCTCCGACGGTGAACTGTTCTCTGTCTTCCACTCCATTTTATAATATCTGTCTTATTATTAAGAAATAATATAACTGTTAGTTAAATAAACTTCAAAATGGAAACAAAAAAATGGTGAAACGTGTGAGGATCTATCTACCTGTAGAATAGTTAAATAAACTGTGGACTCAACCAACATGTAAACGATTCATGAAAGTTATAATAGGTGTTTTAGGAGGTAGTTTCCATCCATGTTTATCCGTTTGCTGTTACAACTTACAAGGAGCATTGTTTGTTAATCACAGGCTGTATTGAAGAATCCTCTTTTAGATGTAGTCTAATGTGAAATAATTCAAATAGACAAACGTGAAAGCAAATTAATCAGTTATATTTATTGTTATTCATTCATAGATGTAATGCTACAATCCACGGGCCTGAAAGAAATGTAGAAAACTGTAGTCTACTAGTTGGCTACTTGGCTTACAACAATGTCACTGCCGTAATGAACCTATGCCCATATCCAACAGAAGAAGCAAAAGCCCAGGCAAATTATAATTTTTTTTTGCTTGGTTGAATTTTGGCTGGTCGAGTGTGAAACATTTTTTTTTTTTTTGGAACGCTTCGAGTGTGAAACATACAACAATTATAGTGAAGGGCGTGAAATAAAAACTGCGAAGAAGGCAATGAGACAGTTTAAGTTTAGGAAGTAAAGTGTATCAGCTAATGAATCTGCCTCCACAGGTGTAAGTGACGATGCACGACTCATCCACAAACACTGTATAGTTATGAGCAGGTTTCGCTAGCAATGGCGGAAGCCTAACCAAAAGGTCGCACACGCACTCGTTGTCCATTTGCTTCAACCACTTGCAGCACTCTTGTTGTGCATACGTCTCTTCTCTGTGTCTGTGATGATGGCGGTGGTGGTGGTGACGACGGCGGTGGCGACGGTGGTTATGGTTGTTGTCGTTATTGTTGTGGTGGTCGTCATCATCGTGATCGTGGTCATTGTGATCATGATCATGGTCGCGGTCATGATCATGATCATCGTGATCGTGGTGGTGATCATGATCATCATCATCATGGTCGTGGTCATCGTCGTCATGGTCGTGATCATCATGGTCGTAATTGTGGTGATGATGGTCATCATGGTCATGGTCATGGTCATCATCATCATGGTCATGGTCGTCATCATCATGGTCATGGTCATGATCATGGTCGTGGTCGTGGTCATGGTCATGGTCATGGTCATGGTCAGGAGGAGGAGGAAAGATGGGAGGAGGAGGTGGGGCAATGGGGGAAGGAGGTGGGACAGTGTTCATTGGGAGACGTGAGCAGGCGTAGTTAGCCAGGGCGTATTGAGAGGCGCATAACGGACGTGGTGGTGGAATCTGTATGATTCTCTGGCCTCGAGTGATAGAGGAAGAGGAGAGAGCCAGAAGTAGAACTGCTACAAGAAAAAGAGTTTCCATGGAGAGAGTTGTGAAGAGAGAGATCTTTGGGGGTCATCGTTATATACACCAAGTGACAAGTAGATAGTTTTGCAGAGGGATTTTAGGTTCATAGTAGAGGATATCATTTGATTTGCGTGACTTTGTTAGGTTGCTTGTAGAGCGGTTTTTTAGGACAGTGTTTCATTTGACCAGACCATTTTTAGGTTCCAAATTCCATTATGTTAATCTCAAAATTATTTGTAGCTACAACTTCAAAAGCGTGACAAAAGAACTTTGATCGTTAAACAAGTGCTGTAACTGAGTTTTGATTGTTCCTAGTATCCAAGGTGATCCTTGATTAAAATCTGAAAAGATGATATTTTTAAAACAGGTATAGCAACCACTTTACACAAATAACAGTGCGAAAAATATGTATCATTTGGTCACTCACACCGATTCAGCTTAAATCCAGCTCCTTCTGATTGAGACAAATGTGTTCAGGTGTAATCACTAATCAGACAGACTATAATTAAGACAAATGACTGTCATTTCCCATGAAGTTTTTTTATTTCACAAGAGCAGACACATTAATGACCAAAGCAGGCCAGCGAAAGCATGTCTAGAGAAAAGACCAGAGTAGGATGGATGATTACACATATCTCATTACAGAGGCCCTGTCTGCTGAGTTAATCACAGAGACGCTCCTCTGGTTCCTTACTTTTAGCCGCTAACAAAATCTCCCTATCTTTCTCAACTTGCTCCCTCTGCTTCTTCAATCTATCTTTCCTCTCTTGCCAACCTTCCTCCAACAACCCCAAAAACTTCTCCTTAATAGCCAACAAAGGATCCCTATCTACCAACACCTCATCTTTATAAGCTTCCCTCAACACCGCAGTCTTGATCCCACCCTTCAACGACAAGTAAAATATCCCCGAATGCCTCGTGAAAACACTCGAAAACGCGTTCGAAAACCTAAACTCATCGCAAAACTTGCCAAGTATAGGCACAGGGACTCTCTTCAACAACGAGAGTGACAGCAACTCGTGAAAAACACCAACAGTTCGTTTCTCCATCTCCTTAGAAGCTTGGTCTAAATGAGAAACATCCTCGTACGGAGATATATACTCTTCCTCTAACCAATCTCTACTCCACTCTCTCATCTCTTTCCTCAAAAAAAACCCAGACGGTAACTTCACATCGAAATTGGGACGGACACGAACACCGGTTCTAACGGTTTCTTCTTCAGCTCTAAGCTCGATAACCGATTTGGCGAAATTAGGGTTCCAATCAACAAGCTCAAGAAAAGACTTACCATCTCCATCAACTAAACCGGTTAACCGGAAATAATTAGGATACTTCTTAACCAACTTAACCAAAAAATCATTAGGAAACCCAAAATCTCTTTTCACATGAACCAATTTCTCACCACTAATCACTTTATCTTTCGACATCATCAGCAACTTACAAAGCTTAGCAACGATCAACATCTCATTCTCCGAGTAGATCCTCTCCTCTTCGTCGAGGAAACCTCTGAGACGTGGCGTGGGGCGGATGAATTGAACGAGATCCGATTTCGGTTTAATCCGGTCGTAGTAGATCTCGAAGAGAGAAGGGTTCATTTCAACGAAGCTCTTGGCTTTGAAATTGAGACGAAGCCTCTCGCGGCGTTTCTCGAGGTATCTGAGGGAGATGACTTGGCCTGGCTCGTTGAGGACTTCTTTCACGACGCGAGCGCAGAGGTTGTAACGCTTGTCTTGCTCGATGGCTTCGTCTAGTTTTGTGTCTTTTTTCCAGACTACTTTTAGGCTTGAGATCCATCTGGTTTGGTGGTTTGGTAATGGTTTTGGGTTTTTGATGAGTTTGTAAGAGATTGTTAAGTTTCTGAACACCATTAGTGATGTGTGAAACTAGGGTTCTTGTTTTTCTTATTCGTCGCCGTCGTCAGTTTCTGTTTTTTTTTTATTACAGAGATTGAGATGAAATGTCTATAAACCCTACAACACCTGAACTTAACCTTAGAAATACCACGCGCGAAGCGATTAATTTACCATCACGCGCTATGTATAAGAATGATCCTAAAACAAAATCCATGTAAAACTACTAATTAACCTGTTACAATTTGTTACAAAATAAAACCTGTTACAATTAAACCAAAAAGATTAACCTGTTAAAATTAAACCAAAAAGATTAACTTGTTACAACTAAACCAAAAAGATTAACCTGTTACAATTAAACCAAAAAGATTAACCTGTTACAACTAAACCAAAAAGATTAACCTGTTACCAAAAAAAAAAACTAAACAATTAACCTTGTGAAGATCTTTAGCTTATTTACACAGCTGAACATTTGTTCTTAATTATAGCATCTCTTTTATTACAAAACTACCAACAGCTTACTGGCATATAGATAACTATGTATTTGTATAATCAAATCTAAGGATAGTAGACAACGGACTTTCTATCGATGATCGCAATAAGATTCACATTATACATAGTTGGCTTTCCATAAGCAATCACTCTCTATTATAAAGTAAACTCTATGATCTTCACTTCTCTCGGAACTAAACTAATACATAAGCAAGAAGGATCGAGACTGATGATTGTGATTAGCTAATTGTGATCAATCATGGGAGGAGAGAAGAAAGACTGCACATTTCCAGATGATGTACAGACGAGCCCTTTGCTCCTTCATCTGCTTCGAACATCTTTTCCATGTCTTAGCCTTTGTACAATTACTGCTGCAGCTAAACACAACCGTCGCTTCTGGCATTGTTACTACTGGAAAGCTTCCAAGTAACTATTATAAAACTAGCGAAACTGTTGTTTCTTGATGGGTTTTTGGCTGCTGGAGGGAATAGATATTGCTTTATATATAGTACATATGCTGCTGAGTAGAGCTCGATGGAAACTATTTGGTAGATCGATAGTGTATAATGCATATACAAATATAGGATATAGGTACATATTGAATTTGATTTTAAAAAAGGGTACATTATTGAATTGAATATATGGACCTACATGTTTGTAAAAAAATGCATGGTGCATTAACCGTTAGCTTCGCTTTTGAACTAAAATCTTTTGATTAGTATCTATCATTGGTTAAATGTTTCAGATTTTTTTTTATGTAAAAAAGCCTATTATCAGTTTTGAGATTTGATATTGTTTGAACAGACATTTTCTGTTCATGCACACATGAGAATTAATGATGGAACTGTGGCTTGTGGGGTCTTTCTGTGTTAGGTGGGAATGCGATGATTAATTAAGTACAGTGTATATTTTGGTAGTTAAGAACATGAAATTATGAGTACTTAGTTATGGATTTTTGTTTAGGGGTTTTGTATCAAATATCAACGTTCATCTCACCAAATCACTCGCTTAATCCCCCTTTGATATAAGCTTTCCAATTGAACGAAAGGGTATTTAGTAAAGGGTTTAAATTATGGTTTCATTCTGTTAACACACGCCTCTTGCATGTATTATTAGGTATGTTATATGATGTGAAAGGGAGTTCAATTCATCCGATATGAAATTGAACAGTGTTTAAATATTGGTTGAAACGATTTTTTTGGTCTATCATGAAAACAAAACTAATACCTAATTCAAATGAGTCAAAAATAAATAGATAAACGAGTTATTCTTGGGTTCACCCTCTAGGGTGAACCTCTAGGTTCAGCATCCAATAGGATTTCACTATTTCATATTTGATATCTTTCAAAAAAAAAGAAACAAAATCTTGTTAAGTTATATTATGTTTTTTAAAAATAAAAATACAAAAATAAATAAAAAATAATAATAATTAATAAAAACGAAAATGATCTTTTTTATAAAAAATATTTTAACACTAAATCCTAAACTCTAATCCTAAAACCTAAACCCCTAAGTAAATCATAAACCTTTGGATAACTTTTATAAAAAAAAGTTCTTTAAAAAAAATGTTTTAACACTAAACCCTAAAATCTAATCCTAACCCCTATACCCTTGGGTAAATCATAAACACTAAACCCTAAACTCTAATCCTAAACCCTAAACCCTTGGATAAATCATAAACACGAAACCCTAAACTCTAATCCTAAACCCTAAACTCTAATCCTAAACCCTAAACCCTTGGGTAAATCATAAATATTGAATTTTTAAAACACTATAAGATTTATCTAAAGGTTTATGATTTAACCATAGATTTAGGGTTTGTGATAATAGTTTAGGGTTTAATGCTAAAATATTTTATTTAAAAAGAATTATTTTCGTTTTTATTTATTTTTTATTTATTTATTTATTTCTTTTTATTTTTAAAAACATAATATAACTTAATAAGATTTTCTTTCCTTTTTAAAAAGATATCAAATATGAAATAATGTAATCTTATTGGATGGTGAACCTAGAGGTTCACCCTAGGGGGTGAACCCAAAAATAAGTCTAGATAAACTGATCTGAAGTTCAAATAGTTAATGATGTATTCGATTTAGTTTAAATCCCCTTGACATTATGTTGGACTTCGTCCGAGCTCTTGTTCAACTATTCCGCAAATGATTAATATGATATTTGTCTGTTTTAAATCCAAAGATAAATTCCTTATGGATTTGATTTTGGACTCTTTTTTAACATGTTTTGTACTAATTAGAGTTGGACATCCGTTTATATACTATACATTATTTATCTAAACTTCCAATATGGAACTTTGTTTGTATTCACAACAAACCTTTTCTTAAACAAAGTATCCCACAAACCTTTGATTTCTTTTTTTTAAGAAAACTTGGAACATATTTTGTACCTTCGTAATCACCAACATGACTCATCATCTAACCCTTGTTACACCATTAGGATTTATTCACCTAATCCTTGTAGTCACCCTTCGACCATTCACGACCTAATTAATCAGCATAGAAATATTATCTAAATCTAATTTTTTGTATTGTCAATAGAGAGAGACTTTCGATACAAGTCTCCAAAACCCTTACACGTGAAGTTAACTTGAGGATCTTCTCCCATATTTTCCCACATCCAAAGCTTCTAGGATCTTTCACGGGTTTCTACTACGTTCCCTTCCTTCCCATCAAAGGAGGGACTATTTCGAACTAGAAGAGTATATTGGTCTTCTTATACATTTTTTTTGTCAAATTGGTTTTGATATCACTTGTTGTGCTTGGTCCAAGCCCATATCCAACTCTTTCGCGAATGATTAGTACGATATCGTCCATATTGGGTTCGATGATAAAGCTCCCATGAATTTGGTTTTATGTTCATTCGCAAAAGTCTTCGTATTAATCATAATTGGACATCACTTGATATACTAGATATTATTTATCTAAATTTTCAATGTGAGACATTATTTACATTCCCAGCACATTATTTACCAAATGATTTTACATGTGTCATCATTACAACCATTTTAAAAATGATGACATGGCTAACAAAAAATGTGACATTGAATCTTTTTAATTATAACATGGTTTAAAATTAATTATGACAAAATTCAATTATCAAAATAATATAAGGCATAAGTATATAGTAATTACCATATTTATAAAATATAACTAACTTTTTATGAAATTAACAATAAAAAAAAAACTTAAAATCTTCATTTGTTTAATGAAATTAAATATATTTTCAATGTTTTTAAAGGAAAACTTTAAATTGTACAAATGTTTTTATTTATTATATTTAAATTTTATGAATAAACTATTTGTAAACTACTCATGTTCTTATAACATATTATCTTTATTAATATCAAAAAGTTTAATATATTTCAAGAAGCGAAACATATAACAGATACACTATTAAGTTGAACATGATAATAGAGAAATAATAACACAATGTTTCCTAGCCCTTTTGCAGAATAGACTGATTTGTTAATTTTATCTATTTTTGTTCTCGATCTTAGATGTTCTTGTGTTCGCCTGTTTCATCGTTGTCAATTTCATACACGCCAGGGAGATAACATGCTTTGTTGTAATCCACATCCATATCATACATAATTCTTCTAATTGACATTGATAATCATCAAATTCCATCGTATTTCATTCCATGCCTTCACATAAACAATCCATTTTCCTTCTTATAGTCAAATGATGCTGAATCTTATCTCTTTGAAGTAGTGGAGCCATAACGCACAAGCATCCATATTAGATTGATTAAAGTGCATGAAGTACGCAATCTTTTCCATGTCCATGGCAGTTCTAGATTCCTTTTTTTGTTCCATAGGATTCTCAATTCCTTCAAAGAATTTTCGGGAGAGAATAAACCACCATGATTTAATAGCCATGGAAACACACCGGCAAAACAGAACCTCCAAGAATACTGCTCATGTTTATAATTCTACTAAATGTAATATATATGTAGTATAATTCATGTTTAAGATATAAAATAATAAAACATAGATAAAATATGTAAAGTTTTTATATTATTTTTATTCTGCAACTAAAAAAGCTATACCAACTACATATGCCTTATCAAAAAATTTATCAACTTTTACAAAAAAAAAATATATTTAAAATATATATCATTGCCCTTAAATATTATATCACTCATTTAGAAAAATAGCATATATATATATATATTTTACCAATTTGATTGTTTAAGTCTATAACCATTATAATAAGAAAATGGTGACATAAATAATTTAATATGCGACATATGTATAATTCATTATTATGCAACAATAAAACAATGTATAAAAAATTTAATGTAGAAAAAAATATTTATTGTAGAAAAAAAATATTTATTTAAAGTAAATACCAGTGCAAATTAACCAGTATAATTCATTCTTATGCAACAATAAAACAATGTATACAAATTTTATTGTAGAAAAAAATATTTATTTAAAGTAAATACCAGTGCAAATTAACCAGTATAATTCATTATTATGCAACAATAAAAAAATGTATAAAAATTTTATTGTAGAAAAACATATTTATTTAAAGTAAATACTAGTGCAAATTAAAAATTGATGAACTAAATAGAACAGCTCAGTTACAAATGAGTACTTTCTATCTTTTTTAATTTTAAAAGATAAACTTAATAAAAAGTGTAAAAATATGAAAATTATTTTTTTAAGTTATTATGTTTGCGTAGGAAAGTATCTAGTATAAGTATTGTTAATATTGTTCAAGAAAAAGCATTGTTAACAAAAGAAAGACATGGTCGTGGAGATAGATAGTGTGATAAGGTTAGTAGTATAGTCAATAGTTAGGGGTTGTTCGTTTCTCCATCCAAATGAGTCATCTAAATGGAAATGGTTCATCTGAATGATTTTTGAAATTATAGGTTTAATTTTAAAGTTCATTTGGATGGACTAATTTAGATCATTTGAATGGAGATGTTTTTGTCAAAATGGTACAAAGTTTACTACACCCTTTATATAATCTACAAACATAAATCTAAAATTATTTTGATAGATGAAAAAAATGAAAAAATCGCAATTTCCCATTGTAATCGAAAAACGTGTTTTTTCGCGAAAACAGAAAAATGAGTTTTTCTCGCCAAACCCAAAAAACGCGTCCCCCAAAACCAAAAACGTGTTTTCCCGTAAAATTTCAAAAATGCGTTTTCCGTCAAAACCGAAAAATATTTTCCGCCAAAACCGGATTCCCGCTAAACCCGAAAACGCGTTTTTCTTGTCAAAAACATATTTTCTCGCTAAACTCGAAAAACACATTTTTCCGCTAAACTCAAAAAATGTGTTTTTCCCGCCAAAACCATAAAACATGTTTTTCCCACCAAAACCAAAAGCGTATTTTGTCAAAACCGAAAACGCATTTTTTCCGCCGAACCGGAAAAGAAAAAATTCCTGCCAAAAACGAAAAATGTGTTTTCCTCACAAATACTGAAAAACATGTTTTCCGCCAAAACCGAAAAACGTGTTTTCCCGCAAAAACACATTTTCCCGCCAAAATTGGAAAATGCATTTTTCCTGCCAAACCCAAAACGCGTTTTTCCACCAAGACCGGAAAAATACGTTTTTTTACCGCCAAAACCAAAAAAATGCGTTCCCGCAAAAACTGAAAAACGTGTTTTCCCGCAAAAACCGAGAAACACGTTTTCTCGTCAAAATCAGAAAAATGCATCTTTTCTGCCAAAACCAAAAACGCGTTTTCCCCGCAAAAACTGAAAAACACGTTTTCCGCCGAAACCAAAAAATATGTTCCCGCAAAAATCGAAAAACATGTTTTCCCGCAAAAACCGGGAAAACCCGTTCCGCCCCCAAATCGAAAATCCATATTTCGTGCCAAAACCGAAAAACACGTTTTCCGCGCAAAAACTGAAAACATGTTTTCCGCCAAAACCAAAAAGACCGTTCCCGCAAAAATCGAAAAACATGTTTTGCCGCAAAAACTGAGAAAACACATTTTCCACCAAAATTGAAAAATGCATATTTCCTGCTAAAATCGAAAACGCGTTTTCCCCGCAAAAACCGAAAACACGCTTTCTTGCCAAAATCGAAAAACATGTTTTTCTGCTAAAATAAAAAAATGTGGTTTTTCCATCAAACCCAAAAATGTGTTTTCCCGCAAAAACCAAAAAAAAAACGTAATCGTGCCAAAACCTGAAAAATTCATTTTTCCCGCCAAAACCGGAAAAACGCGTTTTCTCCGCCAAAACCGGAAAACATGTTTTTCTTGCCAAAACCAAAAATGTGTTTTTCCCGCCATACGTGTTTTAATTAGTATAGTTAAAAATTAATATTAAAAAGATGATTAAATTAAAATAAGAGTATATTTGTAATTTGTTCATTAAATCCATCTAAATGGAAATAGAAAAAAAGAAACTAATATGACGTTGACAAAAAAAAAAAAAAAAAAGAAACTAATATGAAATTCATTAAAATGACTCATTCAGATAACTCATATGAATGGATAAACGTACATCCTCTAAAATTTGAATGAATCATTTGGATAGGATATCTAGATGGAGTAGTTAGAGCATCTTCAGTGTAATACTTCATTTTTTCCTCCAAAATGGAGTAAAAGTGAATATGAAGTAGAAATGCACCATCCCTCTTCCATATCCCATAATGGAGTAATGAACAAACAAAAAATAAATTACTTCATTTATGGAATAAATTCTATTATGGAATAGGAAATGAAGTTGAGTTGGAGTGTTTTCTACTCTATACTTATTTTTACTCCATTTTGGAGTAGAAATTGGAATTGAATTGGAGATCCCCTTAAATGGAGATGAGAGATGGAGAAACGAACGGGTCCTTAATGTTTACCGGATAGGTGGGGTCGTGTATTGACAAAAGTATTAATGAACTAATCCTATAATATTCAGTGAATTGAGAGCACACAAAAAGGCAAATCGAGTTTTGATAGGTGAGAAGAAAGTCACGAAGATGATTAGATGAATGGCACCAAAAAGAACGGAGCACGTGTGGATGATGCGCCTAAATCAATCGATACATCATTACCGGCGGAAAATGGTTCTTATCGAATAGATGAGACAGATTTAGTAGTAACTCCAATTATTACTATAGAAAAAACCACATGACCACACAGTGTTTATAACATGTTCTAAATAAAATTTTTTTAAAGAAAAACAAGTATATTTCTTTAGATTCTTTTTTCTTTTGATCAAACAACAGATTCTTTTTTTTTTGTTTATGTTATTAATATTTATAGATTATCGAGATAGTCGTTGGATATTTAGTTCGGAAGATCAAAGCTAGGACAGAAATAGGCATATGGAATCTACACAGGGTTGTGCTACGGAAATGTGGAAACTTGTACATCTTCTTCATCATAGCAACTACAAAATGAGTGATATAAAGATAAAGAAAACTCCAATCAATGACCTCCCTGTGTCTTCTTCTTCAAGGGTTAAGTACTTGGAAACGCTTCTGCATCTCCGAGGGCTTTCTTGATGTCTTTCTGTTAGGCAGAAAACAATGAATGAATTAACTAACCTCTATAGATATTGCAAGAGATGACAAGAGATTTTGTACAAGAGTTTTTACCTCGATGGAAAGAGGTGGAACAGTGGGGCCATAACGATCAATGACTTGACCATCTTTGTCAACCAAGAACTTGGTGAAGTTCCATTTGATCCTACTTCCAAGGAAAGAGGGTTTCTTTGACTTGAGGAATTTGTAGACTGGTGCTGCGTTTTGTCCATTCACACGCACCTAAAAGTATAGATTGATTACATTGGCCACTGGGTTGTTTTATATACACAAGACAGTCAAAAGTGTTGACTTTGAAGCAAAGACGGTTTAAAAAACAAAGCATATTGATGTCAAACAACTAACTAACATTTCAATATTTGGTTCTTCTGTTTGGTTTCTAAATGATTAAGGCATAAAACTAGTAGGTAGGCAGATACCTTTTGGAAAACAGGGTACTCGGCCTTAAACCTGGTACAAGCAAACTCATGAGCATCTTGGCTTGTCCCAGGCTCTTGGTTCAAAAACTGGTTGCAAGGAAACGCCAATACCACAAACCCTGAATCCATATTCATCATTTTTTTTTATAAAAACACAGTATAAGCCTTTTTCATGGTTATATAAAAAAAAAAAAACTAGAAGAATCATAATCATACCCTGATCTTTGTATTTCCGGTAAAGTTCAGTAAGCTGGGTGTAATTAGTTTCCGTGAAACCGCTGTTCCCCAAACCAAAACAGACAAAACAGGTTTTGATTGAAACCCTAGAAGAATCATTTTGAATCTGGGGATACAAATTAACAACAAAAAGAAAAAAAGAAAAGGACCATTTAGAAGCAACGTTGACGACGAGAAGAACCTTCCCTTGGTAAACGCTAAGGTCAACTTCCTTCCCGGAGCTATCCTAATTTCCCCCACGCCAACCATACATTCAAAAAATTCAAAACAAGATGATTAGAAACGCTTCATCTTCTCGGCCGTTTCATTCTCGTAATAAATCAATAATACAAATAAGATTAAAGAGGGAAAAACCTTGACAGTGAATTCATGAATGGATTTTTCGGGCACTGATACAGAACCACCCATCTCTTTGCCGCCGGAGCTCCCACACCACCAATTTCTATGTCTGTCTGCTGCTGTCTTATCCACCTCCTCCTCTTCCTGTTTTTTTCTTTTTTAAATAATCTCAGGAGAATGGATATTCCAGTTGAATTATTAATTCTTTTTTGAGCCTAAATAAAATTGAAATCGTTGTTTATTATTATCTTTAATAACACATCTTTCATACACAGGCTGGTCACGCGTTTACACATTTTATTATTTGATAACTTTCCTGCTGTTTGTTCCTGTCACGATGTATAATTTTGCTATATATAAACATATTAGTTCATGTCTTTGATTTAGACTCATTATTACCCAAACAGGTAATCAGAGAACTTTACTTTAAGCTCTCAATCATTCGAATGAACACATCACCATTAGTAACAAAAACACAATTTGGTGGTAATAAACAGATATCTTAAATGCCCCTTAGTACCTAAATAAATCACTCCTTTCCACATCTCTCTTTCTCTACAACAAGGCGTTTACCCAAAATATTCTCACGACTTCTGTTTTAGTTTTGTTGGCAAATACCATCATATGTACACTCTCACTGTCTCCCTTTTTTTTCTTCCATCATAGAAAAACGTCACTAGACAATACATCTCTCTCAANATCTTAAATGCCCCTTAGTACCTAAATAAATCACTCCTTTCCACATCTCTCTTTCTCTACAACAAGGCGTTTACCCAAAATATTCTCACGACTTCTGTTTTAGTTTTGTTGGCAAATACCATCATATGTACACTCTCACTGTCTCCCTTTTTTTTCTTCCATCATAGAAAAACGTCACTAGACAATACATCTCTCTCAAATAGTCCTCAGAGCCCAACTCACTCTTCAAATTACCTTTGATGCCACGTGCCTGGCTGATCTACAAATCCACACAAAACAAACCTTACTTGTATATTATATTGGATAGAGCCATCAGAGGGATCAGGTTTCCTCAAAACTATGCCACAATTCCAGCTTTAGAAAATGTAATGTAGTACGGTTAACTACTGATTCAGTTTCTGGGAGAGTAAAGAGTGGCATGAATATTCAGATTTACCTCTCATTGCTACTGGAGCAGGACCTTCTGAATGCGGCTTATAGTGAAAAGAGTGTCTATTGTTATATGCACGTGGAGAATGACTCCACCTGTCGTTCTCAAACCTTCCATAGTCACGGTGATGGCCACTGTATGAGCTTGACTGGTATCTGTCATGATATCGTGGACCTGCAATACGAAAATATCATTTATGGCTATTAGTATGCATGACCAAGTGCTAGTGAGCACATATATATATACATCCATTCATACATGTTGTGCATATGCATCCATCTATATTTAAAAGGGTTAAAGGAGCCCACCATGAGAATAGGGCGCATGGTATCTCCAATTGTCTCGACTCTCACATGGCGCAGGTCTCATTCTCTCATGGCCATCATGATAATTCCTTTCCTCAAAATCAGGCGTGTAGTGAGATCTGTGAGGGTATGATGGACCTTCTCTCCGCGGCTTTCTATGGTGGTCCGGCTCCATATATGAATAATAATGATCTGAAGGCGGAGGTGGGGGATGAGCAGATGGATAAGGCCTATGCTGGAAGTTGGAAGCCTCACCATGTAGCATGCTTTTTGACAAAGATGCACGGGAACTATAAGATGATTCAGGACTTCGGTAATGCATAGGTGGATTCATCCTTGGAATATCTGCCTGATGATCTCCCTGGAAAAAAATGACCAGAAATGAATTTAGCAATCATGCTTCAGTCATCGCTATCTTTAACCGAAAAGATTTTTAAAGAAGAAATAAGACGCACATGCATGCTGGGATATCCTCTGCAGTCGAAGCCATTAGGCATGGTACACTGAGTATTCTGTGAAGGGGGAGCTAATGGAGATGACGTGGTCATGTTTTGATGTGAAGTGCCAAAGACAGGCTGACAATTTGCAGACTCTGTATTACCAGCTTGACCAGTGGGTGCCCTGCTTCCAACATCCCAAGGTGGAGCCACGTCTTCCATTTCAAGCTCGCCGTCAACATCTTCAAGTATACGGGTATGCCTTTCAGTAATGGAGGATGTGACATGTTCTTCAAGGATTCTTGACTCATGTTCAGGGGTGACAGACTCAAAATCACCCCCATCCGAGTCACTTCCTTCGTCTTCAACCTTGAGCATTGCAGGCATGCAAAATCCTTGAAGCTGGAGAGTTGAATTACTGATAGACAAAGATGGAATAAGTTATGACACTAGACATAAAAAAACAAGATCCCAAGACGAATATCTAACCTTCCATATTCATCCACCAGTATACCCTCCATATCCCTAACGGGGTCATCCAGCGCCCTTTCTGTTCGAGCCGAGCGCCGAGAATAGAGGCAAGCAGGAACATTACTATGTGAATCGAGTTCTCTTATATGATGACGAACAATAGATTCAGGAAGGATCCTTCTTTCGAGCCAAAGTTTCAAAACCTACACAAGAGTAAAAAGGGTGAGAATTAATATTTATAAGAAAAAGAGCTAAAAATGATCACACCTTCAAGCATTGTTGCCGGTTTTCTTGTGTGGTAGCTCCAGCTGGGACAGCAGCAGCCAATAGGCGAGGCAGCATAACTTGAATGGATGAAAGATAAACCCCACCAGTGTCACCTGAAGAAAAAAACAGTAGTCACAAAGTTAACTCGCCATTAAGAACCTCATGATGCGACTAAAGTAAAACATTACATATGTAACTCACCACTCAGGCCTTTGGAGCACTGAGCAATAGAATCCACGAGGAAAAATAAGTCAACCCTTCTTTGTAAATTTGACTCGCTCTCCAAAGTATGAGCAAGAATTTCCATGGCCTAATTCAAGACATAAACATTCTTAGCAACATAGGGCAATGTTCTGCACAATATAGTATTTAATAAATCCTACAAAAGCACAGTGTAAACAAGTCCCTTTCCTCATGTAAAAGGTAGCAGATAAGAATCTAAGGCTTTCCCTAGACCTATGCTGCCTAGAATGGCTGGATGCCTACAGCATCCTAAAAACAGCATACAAACACAATATACACTAGGGGGAACTGGTAAAGTTGGCTTGATTGATATGGTATCTGTTTAATTGAAGCAATTAAATGTTTGGATAATGTGAATAGTGCTTTACCAAAGGGCAGATCCAGTTATTATGATATCAACAATCTATAATAAGAAATTTGTCTCCAGAAAGCAAAAAAAAGTTGGATTTCACCCAACTAAAAAGTTGGATTTCACCCAAATAGCATGACATCAACAAACAAAGAATACCACAAGCAGGAAGAACGTCTCGTACCTTTGCCGACACACCAAATTTCACCAAATCCATAGCCAGACGTGTTGCGCGGCCAATGGTCTCCTTTGTCCTCACCAAGGAGCTAAGTGCCGCCTCAAAAGATTCAATAGTGAATTGCACATCAGAAATAACAACTTTCTTCACCTCAGTTACACCTATTTCATCTTTACTTTCTTCTTTGACAGTGTCATCACTCATAGTTTTCTTCTCACCAAACTGAACACTGGTGCAGCAATTACTGTTGTTTTGCATACCATTTGCACTTTCTACAGTAGAAATATGGCAAACTGAGTTGCTATATGGAATACCCCTTGCAGGAGAGTCTGGAGTTAACCTCATATTTTCAGATGAAAGGTTCTCAGATACTGAGACAGAATTGGTGGCTTGGATCTGCTCATCCGTCTCACAGCTGTCAATGCACACGGACATACCATATTATTAGTCAACCAGTTCTGTTACCTGGGAAAAATTGATGAATGATGTCTATTCTGAAGAGACTTAATCTAATTGATATTTTCCTAAAACTCAATATGCTAATCCTCTACATAGATAGATTCCTATTCACGATCTACATCAAGATTTAGAGACTCCATTCAAATATCCCAATTTGTTTGCAGAAGTTATTCTAATTAGGAAAACCAATAAAAGAGACATCGTGGTATCAGAGATTAGCATAGGATGAGAGGGACAAAATCAGTAGACTGACCTCTTTTCCAGCTTTTTGTTCTCCTCAGCATCCTCACAGTGGCTATACACTGTTCTACTCTGAGGTTCCTCTTCTTTAACTATAATATCACGTTCAGTAACACAGGGGGCTGGATTCTCTACTATATGACCTTGTTTTCCACTATTAAGTTCATTACCAAGGCTTCCTTGTTTTTCTATCCCTAGATTGTTTTCAGATTCCTGCATGTTTTCAGCCTCCTGATTATTGACCGCTGAACAGAACAATTCAGAATGTTCTACAGCTTGGGATTGAACACCCTCAAAATTCTCACATTTTTCTTTAAGAGAAGAATCTCCAACAACGACTAATGAATGATCACAAGAACCATTGTCCTGCCTTTCGTGTTGGTGAGGAGATTGAGCAGGTACCGATGATGCTGCCACATCCAAACCCGGGTATAAACTTGGGGGCTTATTTGCAGCTGAATCCACGGTATCAGAATTCAAAGGGAGACCATTTTTCTCATTTTGACGTGTGCACTGCATGTCAATAGGATCGGATCCAATATTTAGACAGTTCACTGTTTGCGATACCTCCGAACAGCCCTGAACAACTTCAGAAACACGAGTGTTCCCTTCTGGTGTACTGCCAAGTTGATTAGATTGTGCTCGAATTACTTCATCATCTGGCATCAGACTACATTCGCTCTCATGGAACTCCGTAGCAGCTTTTTTATCTCCTACAGTCTGAATACAGGCCTTATACGGAGACATACTGCCAGAAGGTTTCTCCAAATGAGAAGGCCCTACATCATCCATATCACCTGGGAGCTTACCAGATAAGTCAAAGCTGTTAAATTCATTGGCTGCAGAAGTGTCTTGATCAGATACAATATTATTTGCACAATCAACAGAAGGGCTTGGCTGCATAGCTGCACTTGTTGGAGAGTCTTTGGATGATCTTTCTTCTAACTGTGAAGAGGCATCGCCCTTTTCATCAGGACAAAATACTCTACTCATACGGACTCTGGCTCGCTTTACCAGAGGCAAGTGTTCATCACCATTCTCTGCACAGGGCCTCTCATTCAGCGTTTCATGAGAATTATCAGATCCCTGACAGCTATCACACGCCTTGGTCCCAAAACCTTCT